TTTTCTACTGGTATCATATAGCAATTTAAGTCGTTTACTCAATACTTGCCTGTCTTTATTTCTTTAAAACTCTATATTACTTTCATCTATATTACTTTCATCATAAATAAATAAGTCCGCAATAAAACTCCAATTGAAGTGAAACTTAAAGTTTAAAGAAATTATAACAAAATAAGGTCAACACACTTTCCCAACTTGCGTTTATGACAGGAGCAGAGCAGAGCACACAAAACAAACACGAAACCAAGTTGTGCCATATTCGCTAACTCTTTAAATAAATCAACTCCTTAAAATATGCAACTAATGATGCTGCTGACACTCAGAAACTATGGTATAAGCAGCAGCAAAGCACACTCACACTCCAACTTCAACTCCAACTCGCACTCGCACACACACACACTCTACACCCACCGTTCCGTACATAGTGTGCCGTCTGCACTCACAAATACAGCCACACAAAACTAATGAACTCGGGACGGTAGGTGAGGACGGTAAGGATGGTAAGGATATCAGCGTTAGCCAAGCGTGAATTTAACATTTTAAAATATATTAAAGTGATGTGCGTTTATGTGTTTACATGTGTGCGAATAGATTTAGAGTTTAAGTGTGTATTTGGTGTATTTGTCACATACGAGTGAGCTGATAACAGACTTTAGCAGTGCCAAAGTCGAACGTGAAAAATGCCAAGACTATTAGTTTAAAATGTGCAAAAACTCAAAAGAAAATAAATAAAATAAAATACAACGTAAAATAAATAATAAAATATAGAAACAGAAAATTACTTTAACAACGAAGCGTCATTAAATGAAAATGGGGAAAAAATAAATTGTAAAACATGAAACGTGATTTGGTTTCTCAACTTTATATTAAAATATACACACATAAGAATGCTGGAATGAAAAAAATTATTAAAAATATACCAAAAAAATACTAAACTTTTAAATTCATAGTCAAAAAAAAAACTTTAATGATTTCATGTTCCGAAACTAAGTGGAACTGTATCTTTTTTTTTTTTTTTTTAAATTTTTGTAATTTTTTTTATAGCGTTAACAACAGTGAGTTCAAAAGTTTTACGGCACCACATATCTAAAAGATGGTGTCTCGACTTTGACTTAATATGTACGAATGTATATACACAATGATACATGTTCACAATGTTACATGGAATATTCATAAATATAAGCACATACTTATTCTGTCATATAAACTCTGATGCTTACATCACTATTATTTTAAAATAACGGACATTAACAACCACACTAATAGCAGAGGTTGTAGAAAAACCATGAACGACAGTAGAAATATCAACGTAACACATCCTACTCTGTAACAAAACAACAACAACAATAAGAATACATCACCATAAGCACATATCTAGGATGAAGTAAAAATAGTCTCAGTTCCATAAATACTCGTACATACGTACATATGCTTTCACTACCTTACACAATGTAACAGTCGTCAGTCAAGCACTCAGGCAGTCAGACAGTCAGACAGTCAGGCAGTCAGTCCATCCGTCCAAGTGATGTACAGAGTGAGCTGAGTGTGTCATGTATTTTTTACAACTGTTCGAATAAATGTGTACGCGTGCTTGTAATTTTAAAAACGAGCTAAAATTAGCATAGTTATAGGGGCAGAGCAATGCGCACACAAGTGAGGCAGCGAGGCAGTGAGGCGGCTAAGCAGGATTGGATGCAGATTCTCGCAACTGCCATAGATGAAAATATTCATATTTTATACAAATATTTCTGCACTACATTCTTCCGCTTTTGTCTCTACGTAATGACGTGTGAGTGGAACGATCCCAAACGAAATTAATGAAATATTTTTGAGGTTAGTATACTTGGCTTGAGATAAATATTCGTACGTTGAAATAAAATATGCTTAATGATGTTACTTGTTTATCTTTATTGTTTAATTTATTTGCACAACTGATATCTCAGTTGTGGAATATTTTTGACTTAACAGCTATTTCAGATTTTCATAGTAAACAAATTAAATAAATTAATTTTAAAACTATTTTCAAGTATCATCAAAATTTCTTACTTTAACTTTATTATTTATTTAATGAACTCATAAATACTTCAAATATGCTGAAATCTACAAATTACGTTTGGAGTATAAAAGTAGTCATGAATATTTAAAATAAAATAATAATATTTATGAACATTTTGGTTCTTAAATATTAAAAGTTGTTGATTTATTATATACACATTAAGCATTTCCAATAACTTTGATCATAATACCCTAACAACATTCCTTACTTCCTTCGGCTACTGCAATAAATTAAATTACATAAGCAATTAAAATAGTAAAATGCAAAAGAATGGGAAATAAAGTACAATAATACAATAAAAATATAAATACAATCATGCATCATTTGGTTCTGAATAAGACGTATAGCTTTAATTCTTTAATTCACTAAGAAAACAACAGCCGTTTTATGTGCTTTTATTAAAAGTCTTATAGTTAAAACTAAGTACGTATAAGTTTTAAAGGATCGATGCTAAAAATATTTCTAATATAAACGAGAGACTTTAGAAGAACTCTTGAAACTCTTAACGAAGCCAGGTACATCACTGTCCATTTATCTATTTAAGATCCTTTTGCTTTGAAAGATTTGATATCATATAAAAGCGATTGACTACATTCAATTCAGTTGACTTGTAGTAAAAATAAATTTATATTTATTTGTTGTGCATGTCACATACCTACTAAATGCAGTAATTGAAACTTTTTGAATAATTTTTTATTTTACTTCTTTTAATTAACAAAAGTTTCTCACAACAAACATCATTAACTATAAGTCTACAGTACTGAAGAATAATGAAATATTTGCAAGTATAGAGTGGTCTCTTACCTCAACCTATATAAAAGAGTGTTTCTTACAATAAATCTTAATATCAATAAAAATAATAATGCCATCAGTTATTGAATAAAAATATTGAAATACCTGATCTGAAATCTATAATAAATCAACTTTTGCACTGCAATACAAAGGGAGACTTCAGAACGCTGGCAAGCATGAAACTGACTGAGAAATTATGTTTTCTGTACACATTTGCATAAAGCGTAATACTCACGCATACTACACAGCCTTTATGAATGGTCTGAGTGCCAAGAGTTAAGTGGGTTTTTATATTAATTAAAAATTGATACATAAGCACTTGAGAGTAGCTGATGTAATTAAAAACGAGAAGGAGGAAAGCCTACGCTGGTGTACAATTTTAATATTTCTTGAAAACTGCTCTGTCTGTAGCTAAGAGCCAAAAAATAAAAAAATATTCACACACGTACATAATGAGCCTTTGGACACACACCCGAATACGTAAATTCCGTATTCATATATACTGCATTCCTGCCCCGAAAAGCATGCTTCGTTTGTACGAGTATTTACTCTTCATGCGAAAACAAAATTTCTGTTCAATTTTGAAGCTTCCAGCGCGATGTATTAATTAATTTGAGCGGTAATGCGTGGCAGCAGTGTAATGCAAAGTAACACTGCAACTGCAATTCGTGTTGCATAATAAATATTCACTTGGTTTCTGAAACAAAATTTTTCAATTGCAAAACAAAAGTTCATTATGAATATTAAATCATGGTAGATTGGTGTTGCAGGTATTTTGTGAGAATTGACAGACGAAATTTGGGTGGCAATGTGTTATAATGTGCACATTTGAGTACTTTTCTTTATGTATAACAAAACTCATAACAAAAATCATAAATAAAAGTTTGATGATTAATTAATTTCTAGCAATGGCGGTTTAAATGCAATGCAGGCTCCTGTTAGTTTGCCATGTAGTACAAAGTTTGGTCCGGTTGCGAGGTTATTTTGCACTTGCTAGCAACTGAAAGAAAGAATCTTGTCAACTACTACAAAAATTTAAAGAAGTATAAATCCATACTTATATAAGGAAACCTACACTCAAAAATAAAAATATTTTTTTTATATACCACGAAAATTATAAATCATTAAATTGCAAAAGTGCTAAATAAATCATACACAATAATCTTACGTTTCAACTAATTTTAAAGTAGTTACGTCTTACGTTTCAGCTTATTTTGAAGTAGTTACCTACTAACAATTGAGAGTTGACTGATAGTAAATTTAATATCTCGGCATTACACTGGACAAACGATTCACATGGCTTAAACATGTTCAACTGAAAATAACTAGCTGAGTCAAAATTCTTCATCACCTCCAACCGCTATTCAAAAATGAAAAGCTCAATGCTAAGAACAGGAAGCTGATATATAACCAAATAATTGGTCCGTCACTTCTATATGGTTGTGTAGCGTTTAGCAAAGCTTCAAACACTACTATCCGTCAGCTAGAAATTGCACAAAGCCAGGCTTTGAGAAGACTTATCAAAGTTCCATGGTACATTAGGACGAATGACATCCTCAGGGACCTCAAGATTAATCCCATCAAAAAATACATAAAAGATAGAGCCCTGAAATTATTTGCGAAAACTGACAGACTTACCAACACCGCGTTATTGATGGTCAGAATGGTTCCTGATGAAGTGATTAACAATAATCCAGTCAAGGCGTAAAGAGGGGTTTTAAAAATCCTCGAGTTAAGAAAGAGTAAAAGTGCTCAAGTGCACTGAATCAAATAGCTTCAACATAATAATTAAAAGCTAAGACTAAAATGTTAGTTAGAAAATCAATTAATTGTATTACAAGATCTTTGGTAGTTGTCTCTTCGAGACACTTAAGACCCATAGTTATTTTGATTTTGACTCAACTAGCTTCAACATAATGATTCTTTTGACAATAACTATAATGCATTGCTCACATGTTTCAGTTTTGTATAATTAGTGGATATGAAAATTGAACACAGTGGATATGACAATTGAACACATTATCCCGTTGCATAAATATCGCACCT